TTGAGACAGAGCCTCAAGCTGTCCCCCTGGGCAGAGTGCCGTGGCATTACAGCTCACAGCAACCTCCAACTCCTGGGCTCAAGCGAGTCTCCGGCCTCCACCTCCCATGTAGCTGGGACCACAGGCCCCTACCACAACGCCCGGCTATTTTTTTGGTTGTAGCCATCATTGTTGTTTGGCGGGTCCGGGCTGAGGATTCGAACCCGCCACCTTAGGTGTACATGGCTGGCGCCTTAGCCGGTTGAGCTATAGGTGCCGAGCCCAACTGCTCAATTCTTTATGATATTCTCTTTCTCAGATCACTGTCATAAAAACATGTTCTCTAGAAAACATGTATGAATACCTCGACTGTTAGGGTTTGGTATTGATTTGGAATTAGTAAAAGTAAGTTGTCTATCCTTGGGGGCTATATATATTCCAGTCAAGAGGCTCAGTAGAGAAGTTCAATGTCATAATTGCAAGGCCACTGGTCTTGTGTCCAATGGTCTTATGTCATATGAACCTTTATGAACCACGGTGTTTAATATCAGATTGTGCTTTAACAATGGAAAGCTCCTTGGAGGATTTGCTAAAGCAAACCTTTGATTTGTTTTTAGTCAGACTGCTCCCTGTGGTATTTTGGGGAATACAGTGCTTATTGAATTTGGAGATTTCTTTGAAATAATCACTGTTTGTTTCTCCTTTCTAGCTGGAAACTTTTGGGGTAGGACTTTGTCTGCTATCTCCAGTTCCACGGACCCAACCAGTTATGATGGTTTTGGACCATTTATGCCAGGATTTGAAATCATTCCATATAACGATCTATCTGCATTAGAGGTACTTAACTAGTGTCACGGGACATGGCTCACAGTAAAGCAAGTTAACCCTGTTAAGTATATGAATGAAAAGTAAATATGTCACATGACAGTAACGAAAATTTACTTAAGCTGGGCTGCAATTTCAGACTTGTTTTTCATAATGGTCAGCTAGTTTCCAACGCAGGAAATCTGGATTCTGTGAATGTAATCCTTACAAGTGACCCAACCACTTTGGATTTCTGCCCCTCATAATAATTAATTAGAGTATTATTACCTGTTTAATTACTAGATAAAATTTCTATTTTCAGGTAGCTTTTTAAAATTATGAAGTGGAAGACTTTGATTAAAAAGTCTTTTTTTGGGCTCGGCGCCTATAGCTCAACTGGCTAAGGCACTAGCCACGTACACCTAAGGTGGCGGGTTTGAATCCCCAGCCCGGACCCGCCAAACAACAATGACGGC